CTGGAGTGCAATGGCCTGATCTAGGCTCACTGCAACCCTCCACCCCCGCCCACCCCATTCAAGTGATTCTCCTGCGTGTGCCTCCCGAATGCAGGCACCCACCACAATAATTGGCTAATTTTTGTATTTTTAGTAGAGACGAGGTTTTGCCATGTTGGGCAAGCTAGTCTTGAACCCCTGACCTCAGGTGATCTACCTGCCTTGGCCTCCTAAAGTGCTAGGATTACGTGCCCTCCCATGCTTTCCCTTTTTAGTTTGCTGGCTTCTCCTGGGATACAGTGAAGCTCCAGTGAAAACCTCTCACCTCAGCTAGTTCAGGCCTCGAAATGGCCACTTGGGGGGTCCCCTAAACACCCCAAACTTAATGAGCCCCCAAGTGATCTCATCTCCTAGTCCCCAATTCAGAGAGACCTAAGAGCTACAATGTTCTTCAACTGTATCACATCAGACCCACTTCCTCTCTCCAGCTCAACTGCCACCATCCTAGTTGTAGTCTGAACCAAACCTCATGTGACAATCATGACCACATGACCACAACCTTTTTTTTTTTTTTTTTTTTTTTTGAGATGGAGTCTTGCACTGTGGCTCAGGCTGTAGTGCAGTGGCGAGATCTCGGCTCACTGCAATCTCTGCCTTCTGGGTTCAAGCAATTCTCCTGCCTCAGCCTTCTGAGTAGCTGGGACTACAGGTGTGCGCCACCATGCCCAGCTAATTTTTTTGTATTTTTAATAGAGACGGGGTTTAACCATGTTGGCAAGGACGGTCTCGATCTCCTGACCTCGTGATCCACCCACCTTGGTCTCCCAAAGTGCTGAGATTACAGGCGAGAGCCACTGTGCCCGTCCTTTTTTCTTTTTGAGACAGAGTCTAACTCTGTCACCCAGACTGGAGTGCAATGGTGCGATCTCGGCTCACTGCAACCTCCACTTCCCGGGTTCAAGTGATTCCCCTGCCTCACCCTCCTAAGTAGCTGAGATTACAGCACATGCCACTACACCCAGATAATTTTTGTATTTTTACTAGAGATGGGTTTTCACCGTGTTGGTCAGGCTAGTCTCAAACTTTAGACCTCAAGTGATCCGCCTGCCTTGGCCTCCCAAAGTGCTGGGATTACAGGCGTGAGCCACTGTGCCCAGCCCAGGAATACAATCTGTTTTATTTTATTTTATTTTATTTATTTTTTTTAATGTTGTTTAAAAAAAAAAAACAAATTAAAAAAAATGCACGAGCCGGGTGGGCGAGGTGGCTCACGCCTATAATCCCAGCACTTTGGGAGGCCGAGGTGGGTGGATCACGAGGTCAAGAGATCGAGAGCATGCTGGTCAACATGGTGAAACCCCGTCTCTAATAAAAATACAAAAAAATTAGCTGGGCATGGTGGCGCACACCTGTAGTCCCAACTACTCGGGAGGCTGAGGCAGGAGAATTGCCTGAACCCAGAAGGCGGAGGTTGTGGTGAACCAAGATTGAGCCATTGCACTCCAGCCTGTGTAACAAGAGTGAAACTCCGTCTCAAAAAACAAAAACAAAAACAAAAAACAAAAAACGCAGGAGCCGAGTGATCCACCGCTAAGAGTAAAAAATATGGAACGCATTACCATGAATGTGTGTGTCATCCTTGTGCAGGGGCCATGCTAATCTTCTGTGTATGGTTCCAATTTTAGTATATATGCTGCCGAAGCCAGCACGAATACAATCTTCTAACCAGTGTCTGTGGCAAGTGGAGGTGATCAGTAGGTGTTAGCTACATGAGCTGGAGTCATGAAGTTGATGGCGTGCTGGTTCCAGCACTGGTTCTTGCCTCCTTCTGCTGTGCCTTCGTGCACTGCACTGTCTGGCCAGGACAAGCCCCCAGATCGTCCTGCTCCCTCACATCTAGGGCTCTGGATGAAGATGAAAATCTGCCAGTGAAATGCCCTGGTGCTTTTCTTCCGCAGCCTTCTGGTTCAAGTAACAAACATCCCTGTGTTTGAGGGGTAGATATGGCGGGGCAGTGGCGCAGTGTCTAATCACAAGTTCTGAACTTTTTGCAACTACAAGTGCACATTTGTGTATGTGTATGTTGTGCTTAGCTGAATATTTCTGTTGAATGTATTCCTAACTGCTTGGTTAAAAGTCATAAACATTTTACAGTTTCTTAGATGGGGCCAATTTTTTATTTTTTATGTTTTTGAGACAGAGCCTCTCTCTGTTGCACAGGCTGGAGTGCAGTGGTGTGATCTTGGCTCAGTGCAACCTCTGCCTCCTGGGTTCAAGCGATTCTCTTGCCTCAACCTCTCAAGTAGCTGGGGTTACACGCGCCGGGCACCACATCCAGGTAATTTTTGTATTTTTAGTAGAGATGAGGTTTCATCATGTTGCCCAGGCTGGTCTCGAACTCCTGACCTCAGGTGATCCACCCAACTCGGCTTCCCAAAGTGCTGGGATTACAGGCGTGAGCCACCGCGCCCGGCCATCAGGGTGTCTGAAGTCTTCCTTCGTTGTGGGTTTTCCCCTTCCTCTTTGGTTGCTTCTTGTGCAATGTCTTTTCTGGACCTTCTGCTTCCGCCTAAAGTAAGTGCCAGTGTTCCCCCAGATGGTATCCTGGGCCCGCTTCTCTCCTCATTTTAAGGGATTATACTCGTCTCTCACGTGTATAAGGGAGGTTTCATCTGCAGGAAAAAGAAACCACGTTTTCGGGCCGGGCGCGGTGGCTCAAGCCTGTAATCCCAGCACTTTGGGAGGCCGAGGCGGGTGGATCACGAGGTCAAGAGATCGAGACCATCCTGGTCAACATGGTGAAACCCCGTCTCTACTAAAAATACAAAAAATTAGCTGGGCATGGTGGCGCGTGCCTGTAATCCCAGCTGCTGGGGAGGCTGAGGCAGGAGAATTGCTTGAACCCAGGAGGCGGAGGTTGCGGTGAGCCGAGATCGCGCCATTGCACTCCAGTGTGGGTAACAAGAGCGAAACTCCGTCTCAAAAAAAAAAAAAAGAAACCACGTTTTCATTTTTAAGGAAAGAGATTAAAACAGGGATTGGCCGGGTTCGGTGAAGTGCGCCTGCAGTCCCACTTCTCCAGAGGCTGAGGCGGGAGGATTGCTTGAGCCCAGGGGTGGGGGGTCAAGACCAGCATGGACAACATAGGGAGACCCCGTCCCTAAGAAAAAGAAAAAAGAAGAGAACAACAACAAAAAAATAGAAACGGACGGGCGAACGTCTTGTCCTGTCCTAGTCCTAGCCTGTGTAGCTGGGCCCCAACTACTTTCCCACTCGGAGCGTGAGCGCCTGGAGACACGTACAACCAACCAGTGAGAAGGAGTGGCCACGAGTGGCATGCACTTGGTCCAATTACCTTCGGCCCTGGCGGGCAGGCCCGCGCTTCAGCCAATGGAGGTGCGAGGCGGGGCTCGGGCGGTGGCAGTAGTCACCTGATCCGCGGCTGTCGCGGCAGCTGAGGCGGTGGAGGTTGAGACTATGATGGCGGCGACGGCGACGGCTCGAGTGCGGACGGATCTGCGGTGCGCCTCGGTGCTCTGGCGGATGCCGTGGCTGCCGGTGTTCTTGTGGTTGGTGACGGCGGCGGCAGCGGCGGAGCAGCAGGTCCCGCTTGTACTGTGGTCCAGTTACCGGTGAGCCGGCCGGGGTGGGATGCACTGTGGGGGCTGAGGCGCCCTCGCGCGAATCCGGGGCTGTCCTCGGCGAGGGGTGGCCAGACCCACAGGAGGACTGATCCTTGCTCGGGTCCTCGCAGCGAGTCTGCCGGCGACACAGCTGCAGTCCACATGCTTCAAACCATGGGCTTCGGGTCTGGAGCCGTGCGCCGCCGTCTGACAGCACCTTTTCTGTCCCCTGCCAGGAATTTGTGGGCTCCCGCGTCCGACACTCACGAGGGCCATATCACCAGCGACTTGCAGCTCTCTACCTACTTAGATCCCGCCTTGGAGCTGGGGCCCCGGAACGTGCTACTGTTTCTGCAGGACAAGGTGCGCCCTCCCCAGCCCGCCCTGCCCCGTCATCCGGAGGCAGGCACTCCCCCTCCCCCCATGACACTGACGCCCATTCCCCAAGGGAAGCTTCAGTGACCTTGTCCCTACTGTAGGGAGGTGTGGCTCGTCTCATGGGAAGGCCTGTAGGAAACGCTTCAGTTGGCATGTCGACAGCCTAAGAAATGACACCACCTTGATTGGAGGAAGCCAGGGGTCAGGGGCCAGGCAGCTACTGACTCCCAAGCACTTTCTGTGTCTGACTTAGTCCAATATGCTGGGTGCGGATTATCATCCCTGTGTGTTTACAGATGAGAAAATGGACGCTGGTTAAGCGACTTGCCCAAGGTCATTCAGCAAATGGGTGACAGAGTTGTAATTCTAACTGTGATAATCATAATAATGATCATTGCAAAATCAACACCTGTTTAGTGCTTTGTAGGCACTGTGCTACACTGATGTCATTGTCTGGGTTTCACTGCCAAGGAAAGTAAGGTTTGTATAGATACAATGTTTCACTGAAGTTCCACAGTTGATAGGACTTTGTTTCCAGCCTGAGTCTGTCAGACCTCCCTCTCAATTGGAGCTCATAACCTGTGTGCTGTTTTCTCTCGCATTCAGGATCTTTGCCCCCAAAGCAGGCTTGTAGACTATGAGATGATTCAAGGCTAGCAAGTCTCTGCTTGGCCCTTCCTTGTTGGCGGCCTGTGTGGCTCATTGCCCTTGTAGTCTCCCTTGGTTGTGGTGTGGGCAGATACCACTATCTGAAATCGTTTCATGACGTGGTAAATAATATAGTCAGATGGCACCTAGTCCTACTTCCACCATGTGACCAGCCATTGGAGGCAATGAAGGGGAATTCTTTTTTTGTTGTTGTTTTTCCAACACAGAGTCTCGCTGTCACCCAGGCTGGAGTGCAGTGGCAAGATCTCAGCTCATTGCAACCTCCCGCTCCAGGGTTCAAGCAGTTCTCTGCTTCAGCCTCCTGAGTAGCTGTGATTACAGGCACCCACCACCATGTCTGGCTAATTTTTTGTATTTTTAGTAGAGATGGAATTTCACTGTCTTGGCCAGGCTGGTCTTGAACTCCTGACCTCGTGAACCACCTGCCTCAGCCTCCCAAAATGCTGGGATTACAGGTGTGAGCCACCAAGCCCAGCCTGTGAGGGGGAATTCTTCTAATCCACATAAAACATCTAGCCAGAATTCCCCAGTCTTAGGGCATTTAGCCTTTCATTCATTTGCCCAGTGTGGAAAGCCTACTATGTGCCAGGTATTGTGAAGTACTGGGAATATAGTAGTGAGCAGAAGAACCCAAGCGCCCACCCTCAGGAAACTGACAATCTCTTCAGGGTGACCAGTAAATACTAAATTGGTATATGATAACAATGTCAGTCTTCTACTCTTTAGGGAAGGAAGCAGGCTAAGGCGACAGAGTGACTGGGATGCTGTTTTAGATAAGGATGGTCAGGCCAGGCATCACTGAAGACGTGGTATCTGAGCAGAGATCTTAATGGAGGGAGGGAGCCGCTGGGGGAATGACATTCCTGGAACAGCAAATGCAAGGGCCCTGGGCGAGGTGTGCTCATTGGGAGCTCAAGGAACAGCCGGTGTGGCTGGAGCACAGTGAGTGAGAGAGAGGGGGATGAGATGTAGGAGATGGTTTTCACGTGGCCAGGCGATGAGGTAGGACCCTGTAGGCCACAAGAGGGAGGTGAGTTGCAGTTCTGGGTGTGTGAGAAAGCCTTGGGTAATGTCGAGCAGAGAGTGGTGTGCTCTCTCGATTCAAGAAAATCCCAGAAGCCACCCGCAGTTCCTGGCTTTCAGACTGAGAGCCCAGATGGCTGAACAGCAGGACAGTCCTGCCCACAAAGGAGGGGAGGCTGGGCGAGTATACCAAACAGTGAGGCCAGGGAAGCTGATTAAAATCTCCTCCGGGCCTAACTGGGAAAAGCTTTTGGAGTGGAGGGCAGGAGCAAAAGGAAAAAGGACACCTGTAGGCTGTAAAGAAAAGGGAGGGGTTCAGGGCCACTGCAGTCCTAAGAGCTCAGAAGACTTCAGTGCTTCCTCAAGCGTGTTCTGAGATCCTCACCTCTCTCCCCTTCCACCAAAAGCAGGGGGGGTGAGGGTCCTGTCCAGACTGGACACAGCTGGCTCTCCTTTTCTCTGGCCGGGAGGTCTGCCACAAATGCTCTTGGCTGCCACAGCCCCCTCCCCGCAGCTTCCCTGTTCCCTCCCCAGTTCCTCTTGTCTGTAGGGCGGGCAAGGCAGCTGACTCCTACTCCTGAGGTTACCACAAGTCAGCTGCCTGCAGATCTCCCCACCCATGACCGCCTTCCAGGTCTTCTCCCTGTGCCCTGACTGTGCTGCAGGGAAGAGGCAAGCCTCCCGCCCCACCCCACCCACATGCCCTTGCGCTCCACCACACCGAACCTGACTCTTAGTGAGAAGTGAGACTTTGCTGGTCCTGGCCTTGGCCCCCGTTCCTTGCCAAACTTCCTGACATGTCTCCCCTGTTTCCCTGTTAGCTGAGCGTTGAGGATTTCACAGCATATGGTGGTGTGTTTGGAAACAAGCAGGACAGCGCATTTTCTAACCTGGAGGTAAGAGTCCTCTCCTAGGACATTCTGCTCCTTCTCAACGTTATAAGAACTACTCTTGGCCAGGCACGGTGGCTCACATCTGTAATCCCAGCACTTTGGGAGGCTGAGGCGGGTGGATCA